TATTATTATCATTATTTTGTCCTGCGATAATAATAATAATAATAATAAATATCGAACATTGAAATATGTAAACAATAAACAGAATAACAATAATAATAATAGTGAAGAGAAATTGCGATAACAATAGTAATAAAGAAATAATAAAAGGTCTGGGGTGAGTCTAGGAGGGTTTTGGTATTCGAAAGGGTTGCATTGGTATACGAAAGGAGATGGATGACCTCAGGGTGCAGAAAGCTATTCAACGAAGATATATGGGGTGATCTGGACTGGAGCTTGGAGCTGGAGGGATAAGGCTCCGGAGCATTGACTAGAATGAATAAGTTTAGGCAATGCGAACGGACGTTTAGCTGACTGATGTAAATAAAATACTATAGATTCGGGAGGAGGACGGCATTATAGGAGAGCATGCGTTAGGTTGATGCATCCTTGAGATAATATTGATGCTGTACTTTTTTGTTGCGATATCTGCATCTCTCGATAATGATTATCTTTTTGCAGAGTGCAAGTGATTTGTTTGTTTCTCTAGCGATATGTTAGCACGCAATTTGTGCTCTCTTGTTGGCGAGCCTCTTTATGGATCGTGGTGGTGGTTGGATGGAAGATGTGACAAGTTGGATTATTTCATCTCTTCATTGACTTTTCTTCTTTTCTCGGCACTTATAGTGTTATTTCTGGCGTCTTTTTTCTTTTCCCGGGTTATTTTAGTGGTATTTCGTGGTGCTTTTCATGTCTTCTCTCGATAGTGGGTGACAGATGTGAGGAGAGAGAATAAGTAGGCTTGTGGCTATGGATATGGATATGACAGCCTAAGGGACGGGGCCTTGTGGGTGGATAAAGATAATTGATTGGGAGAGAGCGCAGAGATAGAGAGCACTGCAAAGATCAATATTTCACGTTTAATTTCTAGATTTGGCAGTGCAGAAACCGAGCGATGTTTTGCAGGGATTTCAGAGAGAACAGACACAGAAAGACGGAGAGGGAGAACGAGCGAAACGGAGAAACAGAGAAGAAGTGGAAAATAGTGCGTGATTTTCAGAGAGTTTATTTGGTATATATTTATATAAATATATGGAGATTATGATATATTATTTCATGTAAAATGTCTCGATTTATGGATCGGGGCTTGTTCACTTCATTTTGTATGAGGGAAGCGGAGGGTTAGAGAAAGAAAGGATGTGTTAGAGAGTGTGTGAAAATCAGAGAATTAGATTAATTGTTCCAGTTTTCTTGAAAATGAGGCGATTTTTTGAGATAAATTAAGAGTAATCGATATGCGGGGAGAGTGCCAGACAGTTAGAGAGGAGATTGAGATGGAGAGAGAGGTCCTGGACAGATTAGGCTCATTGGATTAATGGATTTGGTTTTAGAATTCTGTTTGGAGGTAGGGGATGGGAGGGGAGTGTGTGTGGAATTTGAGGAGTCGGTTAGACAAGAAAAGATGAATGTTGGATAGAGAGAGTGGCCGGGGTCGCGCTTCATTGCGCATTTTATTGCTGTTATTTAGTGTTATTTTTATTGTATATTCTTAATATTTATTATTATTTATTATTACTGGAGTCATTTTGTTGCGATGTTTATTAATAGATACACCCCATATAACGGTCATTTCTTCTAATAAATAAGCACATACAATATCTTTTTTTTCAGAAAATATTATAGGAATTTGAGAGACGCAAAAGAGGAAAAGAACGAAGTGAAATAGTGCAGTAAACAAGTGTTTTTTAAGAAAACGATACGATTCAGAGAAACATACAAATGGAATGGTGATAAAGTGATAATAATAATAATGGAAATAGTAAACAGAAGCTCGAATATACGAAGGCACATACAACATTACGATTCAATACACAAAATAGGTAATAATAATAATTAATAACAATAATAATAACAGTAATAATAGTAATTAATAATAACAAGAGTGATATAATAATAATAATTAATAAGCTCGTTTAAGAATGACAAACAAGAATGTAAGCTCGATAATATGAATAGAATGAATGAAATGGCAATGATAATAAAATAAATAATATCTACAAGTTTCAATTAAGCTCGTTGAGTATATAAATCATTTTAAAGAATATGTGATTATAATAATAATAAGTACATGAAAATACAAGTAAGTAATGGCAATAGTAATAGAATTCAAGTAGTTTATGTGTGTCGTGTACGTGAGTGGTTTAAAGATATGGAGTGGACGTGAACACGGGCGGCGCGGTGGCAGTGGGAGCCGTCATTGGATTGACAGAGCCGGGTGGCAGGCTGGGATCGATGCCGGTGTAGAAGCCGACTGGGTTGGGTCTCTGTAAGTGCTTAGGATCGTTTTTTTGTTTTGTGTTATATTTATTATTTTTTGTATCTAATATATTTATTATTTAATATTTTTTGTTTTGTGATATATTTATTATATTATATTTGAATATTATTGTTATTATTAAATATATATTGATTATTATTATTGTTATTGTATAAATATAGCGCTGACCTGTCCCAATAGCATTGCGTTCTCCTGAGCCAACGCATCCAGTACAGACTGAATAACATTGGTTGCAGCTATATAAGCGGGCATTCCGAAGCCGTGTGTGACCTGAAATTTTAAAAAAATAACTTTAGCAAATAATATTTTAAATAATAATAAACAGTTATATATACAATAATAATATGTAATAATAAATAAGAACATACACAAGAGAAATTATAAAAGCCGTGTTGGAGTGGTTTATCCAGAGTTGGTGTGCTCATTTCGCGTCCGTGAATCGGGCTCTTGTCCTCGCGGAATATCTGCGACAGCTCACCCAAAATCCTTCTGGAATATTTTTTGCAGTGATGTATATTAATAATATACATATATATATATTAATAATATACATATATATGTATTAATAATATATAAGTATAATAACAATAAATGTAATAACCTGGTATTATCGATCATAAGTAGTAGATTGTGAGGGTCATCGATTGAAGAGAGTCTCTTCAGTAGGGTCTGGGCACAGTTCCGAACGGGGAAATGACGGCGTGTAGTGTCATCGAGATCGATCGCCATTTGTTGTGTCTCTTCTGTGTATTTTTCGTTATTTTTATTATTTACTATATATAATTGTTATAAAACCTTCAACGAAGCACGTCCACGTTGTTGCAACACCGTTTTTACGACGTCCCGAGGGTAGATTCATGCCGTATTGCTTCAGTTCATCGCGTAGTGCTTTGCCTCCACTTTTCTCTTTAGCTCTTTAATAGTTATACAATAAATATTTTATAAAAATAATTTTAAAAGTTTTTGAAAAATTCAAAAAAAGTGACTTACTTCCTCAAATAAGCGCCCAAAATGGAAATATTCAGCATTTCAGGTCCGTATATTCGGCGGTGTATCTCGCCGATGGACACGGAGAGCTGCTTTGAGGTCAGAAGTGCGGTACGAGAGGGTGTCTTGCAGAATTCCTGCTGGGGCGATACGTCCGGGGGTAACTCCACCTTGAACATCTTCGAAGAGACTGGAGCACTGCTGGTGGTGAACAATAATGGTGATTCCGCAGATACCCCTATGCCTATGGCCCCGGCTGGGCCGAATATAGCGTTCGAAGAGCCTGAAATTAATTTCAGGTTGAATGCGGGCGGGGCTTAATTATTTTTTGATGTAATATTTATTGTTATTGTATACCTGTAAAACTGTCCAACATACTGGTGGAGGAGGATGATTGTGATGTAATGTTCAGACTGCTTAGGTCCTGTAATTTTTATT